TTCGGTTAGGGTCCCGCGACCACGACAAATGGCTTTTGCGCGCTCGACTCAGTCCGCACCGAGACTTATTTTGCGATCACTTGTTAAGGCTTTATTTTTTCATTGAGGATTAACTTTTGTGATGGAATTGCCGCAGAAGCTGCTCGTATGAGGTAAGTTGACCCAGTAAATTTTGTTAACATTTTTATTGTTGAACTATTTCCTCAGCAGGTTTTACCAATATGAACGTTTTGATAGTACAATTTTTTTATATTGTACATTGCGTTTACTTGAACAGGAATCTCTCTCAAAATTCAAATTATATTTCTAATACACCATTTGAAAGCACTATTGAACTATGTGAACAATTTTTAGAACACAACATGAAATTTTTATTTAAACCATTGTATTTATACATCACGAAAAAGCGTTATTACCCTTTTTTGTCCTAACTGAAATCGGAATAGGGGAAAGGTTATTTTTTATTATCATTATTGATTGTTGCCTTAGATTTGGATTTATACAAGCACAATCTGCACATTTATGTATATATTTGCATAGTTCAGTCTATCGCTTCTTGGAGTCCGGGTCAAGGTAATTCCAGTTTTTGTAATTTTCAATAAATTACTGGCAGGCCTCGAAAATCACCATCTTGGGTCTTGGCAGTCCGGGGGTAGAAGTCGGTCTTATCCGTCAGTCACAGAATTTGGGACCTGGATGTGTCAACAGCTGGGTAAATTCAACACCCAAGTATGCAGTTCCGAGATCCAAATTCTCTCCTATTTTCATTGTATTCATTGAAATAGTGTGGTGGAGTTCTTCGTACTTAATTCCTCCATCACCTTCTACTACTCAATATTCCGCCATCGACCCTTTTACACTAATTCACGTTAATAAATATGGTTGACACTCGGATTTTGAGCCAAAGGCCGGATATTTAGGGATGGATAGATCCCGGATGCAGAGGAAGGTGGCTCGATGTATCCCACCTGATTCAGGACATGCATGAATCCTTATAAAGAGCGAGTAGTATTTAACCCGATATGAGAATTGTGCATGAGCACGGCAGCCGTGTTTCGATTCTTGGAAGAAATATATGAATCCAAGGAATAGCACCCCTTAATCAGGTGGGACACATCGAGCAACCTTCCTCTTCAGGCCGGAAAAATGTCCGTGCTTTGGCTCAAAAGTTCGTGTGTCAAGCGCACAGGCTTTTCCTTAACCTGACCCTTCTTATACTAGTCAATTATCCGAGGGCCATCTATCGACAGTCCTCTTGAAACCCGAGGGCTTCAGCCCACACTGCTACTTTCTTTTAATCATGTCTTTTAATGCATTTTAGCGTAAGAGGGCTTGACCGCAATGGGATGTCTTCAACAGCCTTTCATTACCCTCCAGTTCTATGCCCCTTTTGATTTCAAAACTTTTGTATAGAGATTTTAATTGAAAAAAAAGACGAAATTATAATTAAATTACAATCAATATATAATTTTATTTTTTGGTTAGTTAAAAACTTTTCGCCACCTATAAAGACGCCATCTAATACAAATTTTTTATTTTCTGTAATAAATTTATTTAATTTTTTAATTAATTAAACTTTCTACAGAGAACTGTTTTTTCCAATTAGATATTTGAAAATGTTGCGATTTCTCTGGTCTGCAAGAATTTGCAAATTGGTCGATACCTATCATTTTGGACTGCATATCATTAAACATAAGTGATAATTTGGTTATCGCTGTCAGAGAAATCGTACACTAGTACAAATAGACTGATAGATTTTCTAGAAACGATAACAATAATGTGTGTGAGAATAGGCGAAATCGTAATAATCATTTTTTCTTTATTGATAATTTTGGCGAAAACAATCCTCGTTGTTACAATTAATTAAGGTTTTTAGTTGAGATAAAAAAAGTCAATGGCACGAGCGGGATTCGAACCCACGATCTTCGGCTAGATACGCCGCTGCTCTACCACTTGAGCTGTCGTGACCTCGATCCATTCGGACATCAACTTCCTATCTCAACCCCAGTCCGAGTGGATCGAGGTCACGATAGCTCAAGTGGCAGAGCAGCGGCGTATCTAGCCGAAGATCGTGTGTTCGAATCCCGCTCGTGCCATTGACTTTTTTATCTCAACTAAAATCTTAATTATTCAGAAATAGTGAGATACGGTCTGGTTTGATGTAGGTTTCAGAAAAACATTTTCTTTATCGTGCCAACGTTTCGATCTTTATTGAGATCATCTTCAGGGCTCAAAGTGTTTGTCTTCTGTGTAATTGTGCCATTCTTGCGTGTCGTGTTGAGAGTGCCAATCTGAAACCTACATCACACCAGACGGCGTCTCACGATTTCTGTATAATTATCGATTAACGGTCACTAATCACCATACATAAAAACCTTAATTAATTGTAATATATTAATTAGTCAAGCGGACCACGAACTTAGTGAATTTCATGAATCCTCGTTGTATTGGTCTGAAAACGCGTTTTGAATTTTCACCATATTTTTTGATAGATTCACATGTAATTTTGCTTAATCTAGTTCTTTTTATATTTAGTATTGTTAGTAGTTATTTATTTGAACAAACCCATTCACTCTAATAGTAATATTTACTAAAGAGAAAGGTTGCTCAATGTGTCCTACTTAATTGTTTCTTTAGTTCCATATAGCGAGTGAAAAGGAATGCTGCCAATATGAGAATTGTGCTTGAATATGTAATTTGTTGATTTTAATCTAGATAGATGATACATTTGTTGGGTGTTTCGTGAGAATGTATTTATAAGCGTGAATGCCAGAGTAATGAAAGAACATTGATGTCAGAATATCAAGTACCTCGTCAATCTTATATTAGACAACTCTTTTAAACGCGTTTTGGCTTTTCGCCGGTGGTAAGTTTGCGTGTACTTTTGCTTAGCAAAGTTCCTTTTATACCTTTACTTTTATTTGAGTAGTATTGAGAGTATTGAGAGAGAGGGGGACAGTGAGAGAGGTAGATATACAGATAGACAGATGTAATGAATGTAATTTAATGTTTGATATCAATAATCGTATTTACTCATCATATTAGATATTTACATATGCAATATCATTTTTGTTTTTGGTTAAATTGTATTAATTTGTAATTACTGTTGTAATCAGCGTTAAATTCATTGCAATGCTCTTGGATATACATTGTTTTTGATGATTCTGTTTGGCATATACACAAAGAACAAATCCCCCATCCTGGAGCATGCAAAGTATAATTGTCCATGAGAAAACCATGGATTCTCCAAATTCAATCGACATAATAGCAATGATACACCTTGTGATTTGTTTAGCGTTACTGCAAGATCAAGTTTAATTAGATATTTGAATTGGAAAGGCACTTATGTTGGCATCATTGGTATGTGATGTATTAGCATATCCTCTCCTTTGAATTTTAGTAAGAATATTAATATTATTCTACGAACAATATGTTGTCGTTTTGGTGGTAATTTAAAGAACAGCAAGGTTAGTGTGTAATCGACTATTGTCTCGTTGTTCATTTTTTATTTATTTTAGAATTAATTAAATATGAGGCGAATTTTGATCACAATAGGGAAAAGATGGTCTTAATTCTGTAATTCTTATTTGATATGCTTCATTTCGTGCTTCGTGATCTTGTGATGATTTTGTAGCTCGTGAGTGTGACGATATTTATTTTTTAACCAATTTTGTTCATTTTGTTGTGCTTTTTCTTCTTCTGTTTCTTTCTTCTGTTCTATCGTATGGAATTCTCCTGGCAATATTTGTGCGACGGCCAATATTTTGTCGTTTTTGTGGCATTTTAAACCACAACACCAAAATCCAATTCCAACAATTCTACTACAGCAGTGTCAAAATAGCAGAATGTAAGATTAAACATAATTCATAATACGGCAAAATCATCGCAATTAATTACAAAACATTGAAAAACTGAACATTACGGAACTTCGCAACGTAACATTTTAGAAAATTCATAATGTTAATGTATCCACTTGACCAAACAACCGCACTACGTATCACGCTTAATTTAAACTGACCGAGTTCGGTAAAACAATGTTTAATAAATTACAATTAATTAAGGTTTTTAGATGAGATAAAAAAGTCAATGGCACGAGCGGGATTCGAACCCACGATCTTCGGCTTGATACGCCGCAGCTCTACCACTTGAGCTATCGTGACCTCGATCCACTCGGACACCAACTTCCCATCTCAACCGCACCTTTTGAATTTTCCCTCCTTTTTGCCATTTTTCAAATGTCGTGTAATCGAAAAATTATCAATTACAAGTCTTTATCTTTGTACTCTAAATAAACTTTACTTGGAGCACTTTTCTAAATTCTGGTGGTTTCGCTTAGTGAAACGGTCGTCGGCCACATTCTGGTAGTTCTTTTTACTAACTGCTGCCTTAGTAAAGATACATCGGTGAAGTTCTTCCTATTGTTTCATCAGCGAAACCAATTCTTTAGTTTTTGCGTCTATATGTACCAGTAGTTTTGCAACCATAACTGATTCAGTAATTTTTGCGACTAAAGAGTGTTAGCTTAGTGTTTGCGTCTATTGTATTTTAGCGCATCCAAAACGGAATTTGAAAGACGCGGGAAACATGTATCACACCGGGAGCCGAAAGGCCAACTGGACAGCTGACAGCTGTGAAAACATATGTGAAAAATGGACGCCACAAATTCCTGAAATCTCTTTTTTTGTAAATCCGGACGCCCGTTATTCATATGCCCATTTTATATTCTCTAAACCCGCCCGGCACAAAAATCATCAAGATGAAAAAAAATTTTACGAGATAAAATCGATTAATAGTTGAAAGTTATCATGTCAGAGATGGTCAGTTTTAATCAAACTATTAGATAGTATTCCCTCTTTTTGACATTTAAAAAAAATTATAATTTCAAGTAACTCAAATTACTTTATTGTATAAATAAATAAATACATGTTTTTTAAATTTTGTAGTTGATTTATTTGGAAAAAATATTTTACAAACACCAACACATGTGCTAAAAAATGAACTGTTTTATTTCTGTGAGTAGTTAAATATATTTAATAGCTTACTCGTAAACGATCATCTGATATTTAGTTTTTTACTTAGTGTTTTTAGCATTTTTTAACAATCACAAAAATTATAATTACGGCCTTGTCCAAGCCTATTCAAAAGATTTCTCATAGACTACGGCCTCGTGCTTTGTTTTTCCAGAATCTGTGGCAACCGAAATAAATTGTAGCTGTTTTCTCTTCGACGGTGGGAGAACTGCCGCCCCATGGCCCGCATAGAGTTCAACCCTTTTCCGTTGCCATTGATACAATTCGAAGAATGCTGGTCATCACCGCTGATCCTCGAAGGCTTCGAGTACGACTGGAAGCAAAGTGCGACGACTTCGGATCGGCTCTACTACCACCACACTCTATGTGAGTTTAAAAAAATGGCAAACATCGATGTTTACATATGTTAGATAATTAAGCGATTTCAGTCAAATTTAATTCATGCCCTTAATGCTTTCCAACCAGTTTCCAAAATTTAAAAGTACTTAATAATCTTTGAGCAATTTCCATAAATCCTAGATAATTAGGAAGTTTTTGTATATAACAAGTATTACAAATATCTATACTTCCAGTCTTTACAAGCAGCATGCAATTAAGGTATAAGTTTCTCATTTGGCTTTAATTGAAAATTAATTATCATATATAATTTAGTAATACATAACTTAATACCATTATTTAATAAAACTTACTAATATAGAACTTTAGTAATATATTAATTAGGTGGTAAAAATATAATCATAAAACAGGAGTTTCTATTATAGCATAACGTTATTTATTAATTTATTAATCTTTTTATGTAAGATTTTTGATTGAATAAAAAGTTAGTGCGACGAGTGGGATTCGAACACATGACCTTCGCTTAAATACGCCGTTGCTCTACCACTTGAGCTATTAAATTTTTTAACAAACTAACTTTTTTATTTCAACCATAAACCTTACATAAAAAGATTAATTAATTGAAAGAAGTAATTTATTCCAGTCTGTAGAAGCAGCATGCAATTATTGCGTATGTTTCTCATTTGGTTTTAATTGAAAATGATTATCATCTATAATTTACTAATATATAACTTAACACTACTACTTAATAAAACTTACTAATATATAACTTTAGTAATATATATAATTTGGTGGAAGAAATATGTTCATAAAACAGAAGTTTTTATGGTATAACGTTATTTATTAGTTAATTAATCTGTTTATGTAAGGTTTTTGATTGAAATGAAAAAGTTAGTGTCACGAGCGGGATTCGAACCCACGACCTTCGGTTTTACTAACTTTTACTTTTTAACCGAAAACCTTACATAAAAAGGTTAATTAATTTCAAAGAAGTAATTTGGTCTATAGACCACTAAATATAATGGTGTTATTTATTAGATAAATTGTAAGGCTAAGGAAATGAATTATATATTATTAGTTGCCAAAAATTATCTAATTGTAGGAGAACGCTTGCTCCAAACTAAAAACTGTTTGCACTTAAATTTCGTGTCAAAACCTCTTGAAATATACATTTTGGGGGCCGCGGTAGCCGAGTGGTTAAGGCGTCAGACTCTCGGCTATTAGATCCCGCGGTCGTGGGTTCGATCCCCACCGTCGCCTCTGGACTTTTTCTGACGCCTAAGGGGACCGGTGGCCGCAATTGAAAGAAATTGACACGGCACTCATCAATGGAAGGGGCGGGATCGGATCTCAGCGACCCTGAATTTGGTCCCAACCCCCTTCAAAAATGAGTTTCTTCGATGGAAGAACACCGGTACAACGGGGGCTCAAGTTCACATTTGTGTTGCGAGCCCTCCCCCAAAATATGGAGCCAGGGATAAAGTACAATAAGCTGTACAGCTCAGCTGCAGTACTCAGGAGGGAACTCCTCCAGTCCCTGGTATCCATTAAAAAAAAAAAAAAATAAATAAAATAAAAAATAAAAAATAAAATAAAAAAAAAGGAGAGCTTGTTAGGTTCCATGTTTTATTATTTATTTTAGTGCTTGACAAGTCTGTCCATATAAAGTTAAAAAGAAGCCGGGAAATTCTTTCTTAAAATATTATCAACAACTTCCATAGATATCAATAAATATCGACCCATTTCTTTATCCATATTCTTATGAAAAGTTTTCTTCTGTGTAAATCATCAGAACAAATCTTATTTGAAGTTAATCTGATGGCTCACGAATTGGATGGTAAAAAGGTATTTTTTGGACAATAAGAAAGCATTTGACTCTGTAGACCACAATAATCACTCAAAAGTTATATAAAAATTGATCAATGGAACTGCTCTTAATCTTTTTAAATCATATATTTTTGATAGGTCTCAGAAAAGTATAATTGGATAATCATGATGAAGTGCTCTATGCCAATTGAATGTGATGCACCATAGAGTCCAGAGTGTACCAAGTATTATCATTTCTATCCTTTTCTTTATTTGACATTAAACGTATGATGTGAAAAAAAACATAGAAAACAAACACTTTGAGTGAATACATATACGTTGATTGGATCTAAAATTTCTAGCATTGTATAAATTCTTTTTTTTCACATCCTATATGTATTTGTATAATTTAAACAATGTTTATAAATCCCAAGCCCTGAAGATGATCTCAATAAAGATCGAAACGTTGGCACGACAAAGAAAATGTTTTTCTAAAACCTACATCACATCAGACCGCATCTCACGATCTTCAGATAATCATAAAGGGTTAACTTGATCAAAATTATCTGCCTTTATACTAAAAAAAATATGTTATCTCCTTTTAATTAAAGACATACGAGATTTCATCAAACATAAAATTATTTAATATTTATTTATATATATTATAAAATTATAGTTCTTGCAAACCTCTTCTTTCGTAACTAAAGTTAAATACTTAATAGTATTACTGAACGAAAATTTAAAATTAAATTTTCAGATCGAAATATTAGCATAGAACATCGTAATTTTACGTTTATATACTTTAAAATGAGTTTATTTCGCCTTCGTTTTAAAGTCTTAAATTAAAAACAATTGAATTTAAAATATTAATGTCTTTATATATTCATATCAAACAACATTAAACTATTTGCCATAATTTACCAAAAATAAATGTACCCAATACTATATTTTTTATAATAGGGTATTGTATTTATGAAAATAGTAATTTCAGATCTTTAATCAGTTGAAAAATATTTACATATTCATACATTCTTGACTAAAATGAATATGTTTCTCAATCTTTTTTTAAATTAATATTATTATTTACTTGTTTCATAATAATAAAAAGACATTGTTCATTTTACAACTGGTGCTATCGGGCATAGGAATGCAAGTTACAGAAAGTTGATGTAATAGAAGAATAACAAATTACTTTTATAATTATGTGTTAATTTTTTTTTATTATTCGACTTCGAATCCAAAAAATATATTACCTTATATAAATACAAATATTGCACATATTATTGTCTAATTTTTTTTCCTGATCGTTTGACTATTATTGAGAGAGCATTGTGGACAAAAGGATACTAAAATAACAAATAACTTTTTCATATATATATTTGACGAAACATAGATTCAGACCAATGTAAAACGGCTAATAAAAGTAAATTTAAGAAAGATTTTTCTAAAATAAAGATTGTTATTGCAAATGAAATGCATGGACGTAATATGATATGAATTTTACTGTCTGTTTAGTACACGAACAATAGCGGAATATTACACATCCTTCAAAACACTTTTCCTTTTATTTCAGCAAGCATTCGTCAACACAAGGACTTAAAACAAAAATGTGCCCCGAAAGATTCGCTCGATTTGGTCCTTGCGAGCGTTTACGACCAGAGCGAAGACGCATTTCGTGACAAGTTTTTCGTTATGACTCAACCGGAGACGGTCGGCCTGCCGACGTACCGCCTGCTGAAAAACAAACGTTTGGTATGTATTTTAACTCCTTCTTCTCTTCCTTTTTTTTGGTGAACGTGGCCCCTGGCCGTCGAGGGAGCCGGCGGCACGACGTCATGTAAATCGAGAGTTAAATTTTCAAAAAATTATTCACCTCGACGTGTGAATGCAAATTTGTAATGGCTGTAATATTATAGAGGCCTTTGATCAGAATTCTCTTCTCCGATTAGCAAAAATTATCATACTGAATAGATATGGAGCATTGTTAATGCACCAAACCCGTAACTGTTCCAATTTTCGGTACTACATTAATTAAATACCGTTCAGGTAGACCAATAATAATTTAATCAATAACACAATATTTGAAACCAAATTAATCCAACTTTCAGGGCGAATGAAATAGAACTTTTCGTTCTTGATGTTAAAACCAATTTGTTAATTAAATTTAATACATTACAATTAATTAAGGTTTTTAGTTGAGATGAAAAAAGTTAATGGCACGAGCGGGATTCGAACCCACGATCTTCGGCTAGATACGCCGCTGCTCTACCATTTGAGCTATCGTGACCTCGATCCACTCGGACATCAACTTCCTATCTCAACCCCACCTTATGAGTTTTCCCTCCTTTTTGCCATTTTTCAAATGTCGTGTAATCGGATTGGATTCTCGACGACAAATGAAATGGCCAAGGAGAGCTTTAGTGAAGTGTACTTCATTTTAATCATCAAATTCACTGATTTCGTGGTCCGCTTGACCAATTAATACATTACAATTAATTAAGGTTTTTAGTTGAAATGAAAAAAGTTAATGGCACGAGCGGGATTCGAATTGAATCGATTTGAAAAATGGCAAAAAGGAGGGAAAACTCATAAGGTGGGGTTGAGATAGGAAGTTGATGTCCAAGAGGATCGAGGTCACGATAGCTCAAGTGGTAGAGCAGCGGCGTATCTAGCCGAAGATCGTGGGTTCGATTCCCGCTCCTGCCATTAACTTTTTTCATCTCAACTAAAAACCTTAATTAATTGTAATAAATTAATTGGTCAAGCGGACCACGAAATTAGTGAAATTAAATTTAATAAACAAATACGATAGATACTTCAATTTACAAATATTAGGATTTTGTACGATTTGTTTTTGAGCTCTCTTTCTGATAAATCTGTTCATCGACAGTTTTCCCATATTCTGGCCTTCTAGTTTTGTTCTGTCACTTGTGTTTCGGAATTTTTTGTCTTATTTTATTCATTCCAGCCGCTTTTTTTATATTCCTGACACCTAAATAACAGAATGCATTGGATTGAGAAGATGTACAGAACGGCCGACAGGTAGAGAACAGACACAATGAAATAATTTAGAAATAAGAAAGATTGAGTAAGTGTTTGATACAAACAGAGAGAAAATCCTAGTGATTGAAGTCAAAAGATATAAGCAAACGATAGAAGATAGACAACGAGAGAGAGAGAGAGAGAGAGAGAGAGAGAGAATGAGAGAGAGAGCGAGACAGAGTGTGAGTGAATGAGTGATTGTGAGATACAGAGAAACAGATCTAGAAAGATATGCCGTTAAAGAGGTAGTTGGCGAAAAAGATATGCAGATGTGGGTGGGAGAAAGAGAAAGCAAGAGGGCAAAAGGGAGAGAGAGAGAGTGAGAAAGAAGACGGTGTATACAGTTAGGGGAGGATAGACTAAACATATACTAAAATAGACTATAAAGATATACAATGTGATAAAATAATTTTTAAGTGTTAGATGCATCGACCACTTTTCTACTCACCAATACTTTCGACCATGATATCGTCTTTTTTCCTCTGCAACATGCAATTTTTGATGACATGTAATTTATATTATTATTAAAGATATATAATATAATTCTCCAACTATACAGTTATATGAAGAATCAGGGTGCCGGTGTTGAAAAAGGCCCATTTGTAAGAATGTCGAGTTCGAATGCTGGGCCCCTGGATTCGAACCCGGGACCTTTATCTTACAGTGATGAGCGCCTTGTCAACGCCTAAACCGTTGCGGCCACCGACGCCCCAGTATGGTCTTGATTGACAAAAATCTTAATTACGTCAATCTGTAGAAATATTTACGATTGTTTAGCCTTGATGATGACCTAAAAATAGGGCGAAAGCTTGGCAGTAACAACTAAATTTGCTTTTTTTTTATCAAGACTATAACATTGTAGTATTCATAAAAAAACATATAATACAGAGAGACAAAATCTCTTTTCCAACAAAATCCACAATGATCTGCAAAACAAAGATCATATACAGAGGTTAATTTTATATAACACGAAAGAAACGATGAGGGACCAGATACATTTCTTAGATATTTTTATTGAAGTTTGAAATGTCGTAAAATATAAATTATTTTTGATTAGAGGAAGGCGTGACGCGATAATTTGCGATATTTATGAAAACTTATTGATTTAAGCCGATAATCATGTTCTATGAAAGTATGATTTATGCTGTCAATTTTCAACTGGAAAGTCTCACTCTGGTTTAGTTTATTAGTCTTGGCATAGAACTGATTGACTGGCGTGCATAATTGCATCGGCCTGGGAATCCGGCGACCGCAATGATCGCTGGGATGTAAAACTCCCATCCATAATTTCAATGAAGACAAATGGTAACAAAGTGGTAAAGGACCACCGGCTCAGTTGGGTGGTCTCAGTCCTAACAAGACATTTCATATCTCATGGAATGGAAGTCATCATCGGAAATTGAGACGTTGGGGCCTTCGAGTCCTTATGATTTATCAACGGGTGGATTTACATAACCGCGACCATGCTCGTTCATTGTATTTAGATTCGTCGTAATGCACCTCCATGGGAACGGGGCCTAAACACAATGAGCTTCTTGATTACATGATTTCTTAATGGCGATATTCGACTATCTTCGAACGGAACAACAAATCAAACGGCAGTTTGTATCAGACGGAAATTGAAATTATGTGGGCGGTACCATGGAACACATAATGTAAATGGGGTCAATTCACAGTATCCACTCTCTATTCACTTGTCGGCCAAGTATGAAATATATGTTCACGTTTGCACGCAACAAACTGAGGATAGCGTATAAATTTACTTAGTTCCCAAACAATCGTGTTTCGTACCAGGGTATTTCTGAAAGTCCATTAATGTATTTACCCATTCTAGATTCGCCCTCTTATAGATTTAACATTATTTACATTTGTGTGGTGATTCGTGACCGTTAATCGATAATTATTCAGAAATCGTGAGATGCGGTCTGGTGTGATGTAGGTTTCAGAAAAACATTTTCTTTATCGTGCCAACGTTTCGATCTTTATTGAAATCATCTTCAGGGCCTGGGATTTACAAACATTGTTTACATTTAACAAATACATTTAGGATCTGGAAAAGTGAATTTATACAATGCAAAATATATTTTTTTTTATTCAATCAAAGTATTTCTGGCACTAGCACGCTCAACACGACACGCAAGAATGGCACAATTACACAGAAGACAAACACTTTGAATGAGTAGAAATACTTTTATATATTAGGGGTTTAAAGATGTTTGTAAGATGTTAACTCGTGTTAATTCGAATAGAGAAATGTCCAGTAAGATCGTGAACTCCCCCTTCTTTTCTTAGCAAGTTAAACGGTAATTTTTCTACGTCTACAACATTTTTCTCGAACTAACACATCCTAACAGAGTTTTTGTTTAATAGAAAACAACATTTTTACATAATAATCCTAAGGCAGGTAGGTAGTTTCAGTTGTTATTAAATAGGATTTATCATACCAGTTCTTTTTGATAATGAAGATCCAAAGGAAAAGTGCATTCGCGGCTTAAATGAGATATCAAATTGATTAACCTAAAAATCTAACATATGATGATTGACATAAACGAAAATATACTTCCTTTTATTTTTAATAAGTTTGATTTTTAAAGATTTGATTATTCGAAAACGATTTATATGTAATGTATGAAATTACACAGTGCCCGGACACTGGGACGAGTTTATTGCAGACATATAAATATTGTTTGTTTTATATCTTGTATGTTTTAACTTATCAGCTTTGATGAAATCCCAAATAACCAATAACAGAACTTTGTCCAATAGCCACAGAACGCCGACCAAATTTTTGGCTTGCTGAGAAAACCCCAAAATCCAATCGAAAGCTTCATTTGTAATTTACGCAATTTTCTATTAGTTTCACATCATTATATTTTTCTTTTCCTATCATTCGAAACTAAATAAAATTAATATCTTAATTTACTTCGAATATTTAGAAGCAGTACTACTATTGTCTGAAAGCATTTCGCCATATACGGAATATAGGGGTAATCACAATGTTTGTAAGATGTTAACTCGTGTTAACTCGAATAGAGAAATGGCCAGTAAGATCGTGAACGCCCCTCTTTTCTTAGCATGTTAAACGTTAATTTTTCCGCAATGCTGGGCGTGGCGATTGGTAGAACCAAAAATAAAGCTATAACAATCCTTGAAGGCTTGTTGTTGTTTGTTTTCGTTTTGTTTTGTGTTAAATTGTAAGATGCCAGACGTTAATAAAAAAGGAAAATTAATCATCTATTGCATTCAAAATGCTATCTATGCACTCGAAAAGTAGTAACAAATGAAACGCTTCAATTTGTGTCCACATACCTAACTCGTATTCTAAAGTCTAAGAGTCTACAACTAGGATAGGGGATGTGGAACAGGTCAAAAATTAACAAAAGAAATGTATTGGTCTGATAGAATTAATGGTTATTTAAGAATAAAAATACATGTAAACAAAAAAACAGCTGTTAAATTCATGGCAGCCATGTTGGTTAGCTACGCCCTGACGGATAGCAATGTGACTACATTTCGACCTAACATTTTACATTGGCCCTGGCTTGTTAGATCGAGCAGTGTAAACTAGCCGATTCTTACAGGTCTACGTCATCAATTTTCTCGATCTAACAGGACTTAACAGAGTTAACACGGTTAACACAAAGATCGTGAATACCCCTATTATTAAATTGTTGAACTAACTTTTTGGAATTTGACCCTTGTTAGATTTT